TTTCTCACTTCCTTTTATAGGAGGAAAAAACCCCACAACAACAGAACAGTCTCAAAGATTTGAAAAGGCTACTAAAATAGCTCCTTTTCCCAAGACAAAGACAACACCATAACCTGAAGATGGAAACAGAATGAATTAGAATTTGCTAGTTTAGCAGAGTAAAGGAGAAAAGCAGCATGCACTTTACCCGACTTTATATTTGTAATTTGTATTATAAGTAGAGAAAACAAATACAAAACCACAAACCCTAAAGCTCATTAAGGAAAGGAAAAAGAACTAACCCTCTTCTTTCTAGGTGCTGCACTGTCAAGAAGCCCTTGAGAATATTAAATAATACCGCCACACAAACGGATAGTTTAAATAGAGTCAAAAATGGACTTTACATGAGACCTGATTTTTTCTTTTCCATATTGCCTGGCATTATCTTAATAATAAAACCAATCCAGATACGGCGAAGTGCTATAGAATTGCAGGAGGCTACGTGGAAGGAGGAGTCTTCTTAGTGGGTCTATTTTCACTAGGAAAAAAGGAGTGTTTATACCTTATGTTAGCCAAAACATTGTAACTAACATGAGATAAAAGACTGTGGCCAGGAAGGAACTTTTCCCACTGGCTTATTGGAAAGGAACATAATCTCTCTCCTGCCTTAGTCTGGAAAGGGGAGGTTATTTGTTTGGATCAAGCAGACATATTACATATGAGCAAGTTCCTGAAAAAATTCCTGTGCTGCAGACAATGGGGGGAATCTCAGTCCATTCCATATTCTTCTTCATGTGCAGAGCTCTTAAAGGGCTGGCTAATTAATAGCAAGGAGGATGGGTAAGAGGAGAAAGAACAGGATAAAGAGCCAGGATATAAATATAGATGAATTGGAAAATGGCAAAAAATCTTCCAGCTAAATGCAGAAGATGAAAATTATATGTAACAAAGGCTTTTAATATTCCTGAGATAAGCCAGCAGTAAGGAAGAGAATTAAAATGAACAATCATTTTGCAAGCATTTATTAATAGGAACAGAGAAAGGATAACTAAAGCATCAAGATCATCATTACAGCTCACATAAAAAGAGAAATATTCTATTGTCTCCTTAAATGCATCTGACCAAACTAGAAAGCAAGAATTTCTCCCAAGGAAATTCTTCAAGCAAGTGAGGATGGAGTCCTGTACCCAGCCAAACTGTGCACACCGTGTAATGGAAGATATACCTTTTATTGACGACACAAGTCAATAGAAAAAATTCTGGAAAAATTCATAAGTTCCACAGAGCTGTGCTCAAATGATAAGGCTAAACTAAAAACACTTTATACTTTATCATCAATGAGAGGGACCGTTGGTATTTTTTATTTTTTGCCTCGCTGACATTAAAGTTGATACGTTTTGTACTTAGCTGTAATATGTTTACTGATTTCTATATAAAAGAGAATGAAATACCCTGCTGAATGATGACAGTAAGAATACCAGAGAAACTGACCCTTATGATTTGAAACTGCACAAGTTAGCCCATTGATTTTCCATGTTTGCACCTTCAAGGATATGGTGTTAATATGGAGATGCTCCAAATTGGACTATGGAGCTATGCAGTAGCAGGGGACTAGACTATTCTTTAGCCATGTTTCATGGGACAAATGCTACATTTATAATGGGAGATATTAAGAAATGAATCAGTTTCATAAAGCCAAAACTACAATATTAATGGCCACCAGCTACACAAGTGCATGTGCACATATGTATGATCCCACTATGCACAGTTTGTGAGCACTTGGTTTAAATATGTGGCCAGAGGTTCAGAAAGAAATGTATTATGAAACATGAGATAATGGATACGCCATTCTGTTTTCTATTGTTCTTTATTATTACATGAGTTACCGGATGCTATGACATAGATTATTGTATTCATGTTTGAAAAAGTTTTTTAATATTAACATTTTGAAATCCATCATCTATATGACATACAATACAGGAAAACTGAATAAAACTTGTGAACACAACTCTTGATACAGATTACTCTACAAACCATTAGAAATCTGTTCTCAGGGCTATCCTATTTCATAGAATCATAGAATATCAGGGTTGGAAGGGACCTCAAGAGGTCATCTAGTCCAACCCCCTGCTCAAAGCAGGACCAAGTCCGAACTAAATCATCCCAGCCAGGCCTTTGTCAAGCCGGGGCTTAAAAACCTCCAAGGAAGGAGACTCCACCACCTCCCTAGGTAACGCATTCCAGTGCTTCACCACCCTCGTAGTGAAATAGTGTTTCCTAATATCCAACCTGGACCTCCCCCACTGCAACTTGAGACCATTGCTCCTTGTTCTGTCATCTGCCACCACTGAGAACAGCCGAGCTCCATCCTCTTTGGAACCCCCCCTTCAGGTAGTTGAAGGACTGCTATCAAATCCCCCCTCCATTCTTCTCTTCTGCAGA